TAACCTAAACCTTTTCTTAACACACCGTGGGAGACGCAGAGCTAAACAAGAATTTGTAGTATTAGAAATATTTTTTAAAAAAAAAAGTACCTGATAATAGTTATATATTTATAAAACAATGGTAACACGCTATATATATATATATATTTTCAAAGGACTTTATAAAATACACTGTGATTACAGATATTTTAAATATCCAGCCTTACTAGGAGCCATAGGCAATCGTGCCTGGTGGCTAATAATATAAAAAAATATTTAAAAAGCTCTAAAGCATTACCTAAACTGCCAGACTTTAAATAATTTTTATAAATTAGGTCTGGAGAGAGAATGCCCACAGTATCTTGTGCAGGAAAGAGTGCAACTGTTTAAGTAATAGAATATAAACCTTATTAAATAGTTTTAACAACTTTAAATAGGAATTAATAAATTATAACAGCAGTTAATTATATAATAGGATGGGCAGTTACAAAGGCCCTGCTGGATATAAAAGATAAGGGTTTTACACAAGGAGATTTTTACTAATTATAGAGTATTTAAAAAGCTCCTATTAAATAACAGATTAAACTTTTTTTAAAAGATTGTTAAGATATTATATATTGTGATCTTAAAAAATATTAAATAATAACACTTTATTATCCACGAACAAATGGAAAAAACAAGAATATAAATAGTTTTTTAGGCCGGATATTAATAAAGTAATAGGTAAGCTAATATACTTATAATTACTTAGCTATTATAGTATTTATAGCACGCATATATATATATAAAAGTAGATAGAAAAAATTTTTTTTACCTTTTTTATAGGCTAGAGCCACGTCTTCCAGAAAACAGCAACTTAATAAAAATATTAAATAGTAAAGGATTATATACATGTTATACACGCATGTGCATAAACAAAAAATATTTAATATATATAATTTGTTAAAACTTAATCTAGAATATACTAGTCACGAAGAAATATTTAAATGAAAAAAAAGTTTAGTATAAAACAAAACACTATAAAGTTCTAGAGTAAATAGTTTAAACTATATAAAATTATTAAAAAACACTGGTGGATACTAAAGAAAAAGGCTTACCAACCTAATATAAGGAAGCCTTAAAAAAAAAAGGGCGTGTTAGTAAACAGTAATAAAAGTTAACTACTTTATATAATATAAAACAAAGCCTACTATAAAAAAGCTGTTAAAAAAATACAGACTACTTTGGATAGTAAGACTAGGCCTCGGACCCACCCGCGGGTGACCCTCAACGGGTGACCCTCCCACCTGCATTTTGAGGGTGGAGGGTCCAAGGTGCCCACCCTCAGTGAGCCCCCCGAGGGTCACCCGTGCGGGTGGACAAATAGGACAAACAGCACAAACAGCCCGAACACGTGACTTATGCTCATATTACTTTATTTTTATCCATCCTAATAAGGTTAGTATCTAGTCTTGGCGGGCGAGGAGGGTGACCCTCAGTGGGTGGAGGGTCTAAGATAGCTCACCCGCTGAGGGTGGAGGTTCCAGATTTGCTCACCCGCGGAGGGTAAGTCCGAGGCGAGGCCTAAGTAAGACTCGGGAAGATATACCAGGTAAAGGTACAAAAGCCCCAGCACCACAACCAAAGTACGCAACTGTTTAAATTTTATGTTAAAGTTACCCTTAACTTTTAAATAACCTCGTAATCATCCTTAAAACAAGCCTTCCTCCTGTTCCCTGTTGTTATTGTGGCTGCAATAACACCAAACGCGGGCGGAAAGGCTATATATGGTGTTTAACTCTATAAGGCTAATTAAGTAAATAATACCATAAAAATATATACATATATATAAATGCCTTTTTAGCTGTTACCTTAGAGCTTAAAATAATCCAGGATAGAGCAGGCTCCTATAGTTTGTTAAAGGGCGTGCTGCCTAGCAGGGATATAATTTTTATAATTAATAATATAAAAAACACTAAAAAACTATAATAAAATATATTTATATAGCTAAAAAAAAGTCTTAAAATCTAATACTATATTTAAACACTAAGAATATTTTATAGCAGTCCACCAGGTGGATATTAAAATAATTAGCAAAAAAAACCTGGTAAATTTTTAAAAAGTATTAATTAAGTACCTAATAATAGCTAATATTAATTAATTAACTACTACACCAAAGATTACCAACATGGGATAGGTACAGCTATAAAAAATAGTAATATAAAAGGGATACCTAGCTATACTAGTAGTAAAATTTAATAATAACTATACAGCTAATATAGTAATTTATTAAAAACTTATCGTAAATAAAAAGTAATATAATACTAGTATTTATAACTACAAGTAGTACTTATTATAATATTTTAGATATTAAAAATATAAATATATTATTTAATACTATAAGGAAGGCACACCTGTATATACTGCAGCTAGGAATATTTTATATAAAACTATATATATAAAAATTATAATAACTATAAAAAATATACCTATTATATTTTTTTATAAAGGTAAATACTATATCTTTAAAAACCCTGTTAAATAGTATTAAATTAAAATAATTTATTAAAAAAAGGCTACATGCCTACCCTTTTCCCTAAGATACTATTGTTTAGCCACTAATATCCTAATATAAAAGCTAAAGCTAAAACTAACTAGCTTAAATAGCTTCTAATATATACCTGCCTAGGAGCAAGTATACTTAACTATAAAGTCACTGCTATAATATTATATAATAAAAGCTAGACCTGGGATAAAAATAAATATATCTAATATAACACTCTAAACAGCAAGGATAATAATAATATTATAGCTATAGGTAACTAAAGTAATAAAAAGCTTATAAGTATATATTACTAGCAGGAATTAAATAAACTAATAATATTAAACTAGTAATACACAGGCACAGCACACCACAGCCACCCCTAAATAAAAATAATAATAATAAGTTTAGTAAAGACATGCTAGAGTATATAGCCTTTTTTTTTTTTTTTTTATAATATAGGTAAATTGCAAAAAACATGTTACTATTATATAGTATTTTTTTAGTAAAAAAAAATATATAAAATATTATAAATATTATATTTTAATTATACAGATTTCTATGCACTTAGTATATTTTAAAGGTTAATTTTATATAGTAATTTAACTAATACTAAGTTATACTAATAATACTAAAACCACCACTGCCACAAGTGGTATTCTTTATAAGAAAATCTAAATAAAATATAAATTATAAAATATTATATATATAATCTAAGCATGCTAATCATATAAAAACTAGCTAAAAAGCCAGTATATATATATAATATATATAATCCTAGGTTATAAAGCTATAAAAATAATAGTAAAAAAAAATATTTTAATAAAAAATATTAACTATATTAGTCTATTCTATATACAGACTATCTAAGGGCTAAAATCTATATATATAAAAAAAAAAAAAATATCTAATATTTAAAATTTTTAATTTATACTGCCTTATATAGGCTGCCACTGGCTATAACTACTAGAATCCTAAAGCTAAATAATTAACCTGGTTACTAAACCACTAAAGGTGGTAAGATAGGACTAGGATATTACTAATTAAATCCTTTAATAAAAGATCCTAGCTAAATATTTAATACTATATATAATATAAACTTATATCTATATTAAACTACTATATAGGATATAATTAATAATATAACTAGCTACTTAGTTACTGCACTAACTATAGTAATTAAATATTATAACCAAAGTAATCATGCAATTTTTTTTATATAGCTTCAAGGTATCTATAGAATATATAGGATATCCAAATTTTAATAATATAGATTTATCTAAATTAATATTTATATTAGCCAGTGATACTGTATATGCAGATAACCTAAATTAAAAAAGCTTTAAAGGCTATATATGCCTATTATTTAATAGGCCTATTAATTAGGCAGTAAAAAAAAAAAAAAAGTTACTACTTTTACGACTAAAGCTAAATTATTAGCTATCTTAAATGCAACTAAACAATTATATTAGTAGAAGCGAGTATTTAAATTACTAGAATTTAAACTAAATTAAAATTTTCAAATTCTATATAACCATTAAACAATTAATCTCTTAACCAAAGAAAATTTAATATTTAAAACAAGATTAAAGTATATTAACGTCTAAAATTATTAGCTTTAACAGGAGATTTAAAATAAAAACCTAGATATCTAATCTAATAGATAAGTACAAAAAATAGCCTGCAGACAGTCTAAATTATTATCAAGTCAGAACTATAAAAAATTAAAGCCCTAAATATGCAAGACATTTTATTAAAAATTATTAAAATATAAAGGGATTGTTTAATAGCCCTACTTTATTAGTTTTAAATATATTAAAAGCTAAGGGGGGTGTGTTAGAAATAGGAGCATAGTATATTAGACACTAATTACTACTACAAAATACTAGCAAAACTATAGAAAAATTATATGTTATAATTTAGGTCACAGAAAACCGTAAAATATTTTAATCTATTTTTATAAAACGGCTGAAAATGATCTAGAAAAATAAAAAAGTTTATACAAAAACCTGCTAACTTATACCTAAATATTAAAATTACAATAGTTTTAAGGTTTAAGTATACCTATAAAATATTAAGGAAATTTTTTTATATTAGTAATAACTAGTGTTAAAGTTAAGGGTATAAAATAATTTACTAATAAATAATAAAACAATAAAAACACCTGGAAATATAAACTATACAGGTAAGGTTTTTTTTTAAAAAAAAGGGGTATAAATTAGCTACCTAAAAATAAAAATTTTAAAATAATATATATAGAACAGTTATTACCATATGAAAAATATTTTTAACTACTTTAGAGATTAATTCAGTTATATATTGTGAAGGGCTAAAGCCAAAATTGATTCATTACTGACTAGGCCGACATGCTGTTTACAAAAAGCTTGGAGAAGAGAAGGAGTGGAACAAGCGGAACAACAATTAAAGTAAACATGCAAGGCGGTGGCAGAAAAGCTATATGGCAGGGCCATGTAGTGAGAAGCGGGTCTAACCCGTGACATTACCCCCCTCCTCTCCTAGTAATGCGGCCGTCGCTATGGACGACGAGCGGATAATCGAGGTCTACGTGGTTGTCGGTTGGGGTGTTAATGCGGGCTGGGGTGGCCTTGATCCGCCTTTTCGGGGGCGATTCGGCGTCAGAAAGGGACGATGTCGATGACGATGTGAGCGATGACCGGCGATAACGATACTGCGGGTTCCACGTGGGGTCGTTGCATTGGTTAATATAGTGATCAGGGCTACCACAGTACCGGCAGAGGCCCTCCTGTTGACGTTGTCTCTGGCGAGCCTCGCGGCCAATTTTGGTGCGATTCACTGATAGATCCATTGGTTCTGGGGCTAGTTGGCGCTGACGTTGTTGAGGTGAAGATTGGCGTTGAAAGGGTCGCGGCTGGCGACGGTCGTATCGCTGTAGAATCTCTAGATATTCCTCGTAGGATAGCTCAAAAGCGTATCGCTAGCTTGTTCTAGGGCCTCGCGAGAGGACGGCGAAGACCCCGATGCAGTGTGTTGTGGCGAAAATCTGTTGGCCTGAGTTAATCTGCTTCATGCGCTAGGCGCTCAAATCTGCAAGGTATGCTATAAGACTTTCATCGTCTTTTTGGCGAACGTTGGCGAATTGGAGGATACTCTCCTGCTTTCGCGTGGGTTGTGACAAATTCGTTGGAAGTATTGGAAAATTTGGTTTGGGTCGTTGGTTTCTTTAAGGTGTAACACTGATGCTTGCTGAGGTGTCTCGAGCCGGTTATAGACATAATCGAATGCTTGCTGGCCAGTAAGGCCGTCCGCGGTAAGCTTTGCTTGTATTGATGGGAGCCATGTGCGAAGTGAGAACGGTTTGCCGTCGAATCGGGGCGGATCAGGGAGGCGGAAACGGGTCTGATCAGGCTGCTGACTCTGGCGTGACGCGAGGGAAAGAAGCTGGCTTTGCTGGTCGGCAAGTTGCTGTTGCATCTGTTGCATAAGCGCTAGGAGCGCGCCGTTGTCTAGTTGCTGGTTCATCGTTGCGTTGACGTTGCGTTGACGTTGTGTTGACGTTGCGTTGACGTTGCGTTGGCGTTGCGTTGTGGTATCGTTGAATCTTCTATACGACTCGGTAACGAGAAGGAAGCTTTTTGTATGTGAAGGGCTAAAGCCAAAATTGATTCATTACTGACTAGGCCGACATGCTGTTTACAAAAAGCTTGGAGAAGAGAAGGAGTGGAACAAGCGGAACAACAATTAAAGTAAACATGCAAGGCGGTGGCAGAAAAGCTATATGGCAGGGCCATGTAGTGAGAAGCGGGTCTAACCCGTGACATATATCCTTATATGCTATAAAAAAGCTTGCTAAATAAAAACGCGGCCTTCTTAGGACTAAAAATAAAAATAAAAAAATACCTTAGTTATTGACAAAGTAATTACGGGCTATTTCTGCGATACTTATAAAAAACTACTGAGCCATAAAAAGGTATCAAAACGGTTATCTATTACAAAATCTGTACTATAATTAGGTAATTAGAATATCTCAATATTCTGACAGATTTTATTTGAAATTAAAAGGCAACCAAAATGTAAATATAAGAGCAAGTCCTTAAAACGCAGTTTACATAATACTAAGGTGGGCAATTTAATCTATCTAACGTATTCGGTAAGCGAGCCGGGCCACCTTGTTGCATATAAAATATGACTTTTCGATTCTTAATAACTCCACAGATATTATTAGTACACATAAAATCCTAAGTCCCGCGGAATAAATATCGTTTTACACTGTATATATATTTTATAATTTTATTATTTTTTTCCCACACTATAATACGGATGTATGATAAATACAATTAAATGTATTCAATATAAAGAACCAGAAAAAATATAGGCTTCCCAGTCCACTATATGTATATTTAGTATAATAATGGTGTATATCATTTAAGACCCTCGCGATACAGTTCCGCCATTTAGTTTGCATAATTTGGTTGCCCCGCAACCCAAACATGGTTCATCTACATGTACAAAATATATTTACCCCGCCACATAAGATGCTTAAAATTAAAATAATTATATTATACGCAATATAAGCGGTAAAAATTTATAAAAATATGTAAAAAAAAGCGGTAAAATTACTTGATGTTTTACATACCGCTTATTTAATTTTACCCCTAATTTTCGGCCGATTATATAATACATTATCATTAGCACCTACAATAAATGATATTAAAAAAATAATAATAAAAAATTTTTATATATAAAAGTTATACTAAATTAATCTATAATTTATATAAAACTATTTAATTATAATATTATAATATAAAGATTGCTTAAAATACACTCTGTAATATCTTGTAATAATAGGATTTTAGGTGGAACGGAGATATATATGTATATATAATTATTATTAAGGTATAACACAACGAAATTATATATATATACAGTATTTTTAATATAAAGTATTAAAATAATTACCTAGTAATATATATATATTTTTTATATATATACTTTTTATTTTTTAAAAATTAAAACTTAAAAACTATAAGTTTTTCTTTGTATGACTGTTTGCTATATATTATATATCTAGTACCATAGTAACTTTTTTTTAAAAAAAACTATAATTATATAATTAATAATTGTATATTAAACTAATTATATAGTTTTTATTATTTTTAAAACCTGTTGGGTGGTATAATACAGAAATATAAAATATTGAAATAAGGGTAGTAGACTAAGAACTATATGTTGTGGTTGAGATATTAGGCCCCTATATTATATGCAATACGTGGTGGCCGACTCGCTTTCATGGCCGGCTCGCTATTATACTTAGAACCTAATACCTGATTTATATTAAAATATTAATAATTATCCTATATTTTAATATTGTAATTGTTATTTTCAGAGTTTTCTTAATATAATTAATAATCTTAAAAAACATAAACAAGTTAATTAGCAAGAATTTGGTTATTTTAAGTATATTTAGGTTTTTAAGGCTTATTATTTTTAATTATAAAAATAATTTTTATTAAGATCCATGGGTTTATTGTTATTAATTTAATTATTTAATACAATAATATTATTAATACTAAATTTTGTCTCTAGAATAACTTTCTAGAGGTTCTTAAGTATTTTCGTTAATTGAATTATTAAAATATTCTAAGTTATAAAATTAATTTTTATTAAAAATACAATCTCTGGCTAAAAGAATCCTATTTTAGCTAGGAATCCATATTCTCTATATATTAGACGTTTTTTATAAATTATATCTTTGTTTTAATAAAATTTACTAAAAATTAATACAAGATTTAAATGGTAATTAGCCTATAATATACTTTTTAATATATTATATATAGGACAGTTCTTAAAGTTATTATATTCTGCAGGTTTAATAGAAATATTATTTACCGTATCTTTTAGATAACTTATAACCTTTTTACTAGGGTGCCCAAGACATTGGTGCTATTTATATGCAGAAGCTACTTCTAATATTAATTAGAGATTCTATGAGTTATAAATCATTAATTATTTTAATTATTCCGGGTTAAAGTATCCTATTTAATTAAAAAAAATTCTAATTGGTTTTTAACATGCAGATAGGTTTTTAATTATAATTTTTAAGCCAATTATTTCGAGCATTATAATATAGTCCTGCAGCCTTTGCTTTTAATATAAAGACTAAATTAATATAAAAGTTAGGAATATATATGTTGAAAACCAGGATGCCTAAGGCACCTTCGGGTATCCTAGTCCTGAAGCCATCTGACATATCACACGCAAGGGGCTAAGGGGCTAAGGGACACGTAGACATAAGGAAGCGTTTATCTACGCTCTCTCCCTAGATAGACGAACACACTCACCATGCGATACTAGATCGCACCGATAGTTTCAATATACTATCCAGTCACCGCTATCCTAGCACCTCACGACATAGCTTCTTCCCCGAGATTCTCAACAATATATAGTATTTAAAAGCTTAAAATATTTTTTTAATAACTTTAAAAGGGAAATATATACTGTACTAGTGCCTTTAATTTCTGTAAAATTATTCCTAATTTTAATCTAAAATTACAAATATGGACATTTAAAGCAGTATTAAAAGTTTATAAGCTTTTTAATAAATTTTCTAGACTATTTTTTGTAGTTATTATAGCTATTTTTGGCTTAGGATTTTAATTTACTAATTTTACTTTTAATAAAGCCCCTTTTAAAGGCAGTTTTGTTTTTTAAACCTCTGGGTTAATATCTTGGTCTTGAGCTAATTGCTGGATATATTTGTATTAGTTAAAATAGTGGTAACTATTATTTGACTTTAAATTACACAGACAAGGCCTTTGTATAGTATAATTAATACCTTTAAATATTACTTAAGTAATATTCATCTGCTTTAAAGGTTTTGGTTGGTTTAGTTTAATTAAATCCTTAAACCTCTTAGTTATTTAAAAAATAAAAGGTATTTTTTAATTATTTTTCCCTTTTTTTATTAACTTATCCTTCCATGATTCTGCAAAATTCGGTAAAATAATTAAAGTAGCTTTAATAAAATTATATAAAGGTCTTGCACTTTGCTAAATTTTACCTATATTTAGCTCTACTGCTTTGGTATAAATATTTTCCTATTAGGAAATCTATAATTTAATAAAGCTAACTAAGGGTTTTAAATTATATAATATTTTTAAATAATATATCTTTTTCGGGATTTATTAAAAGGTGCTATTTCAGATTTTAATATTAATAATATATTTAAGGCCGAATTATTTTCTATAATAGCTTGCTTGTTATTATGGGATATACTATTAATTATTTAGTTATATTCCTTAGATTTTATATTATATTTATAAATAGCATTACACTATAGGTCATGCTTTTTGGCATTAAGGTCTAGTATTAAACTAGCCCTTTTATTAATATTTAAAACATCAGGGTACTAAGGCTTCAGTAGTATATTTGGTTTAATACCTATATCAGGATCTATATAATCCTAAACACCCTTATTTTATGTAATAATCCTGATATTATTAAACCATAATAGCCAGTCGTCTTGGCTTGATAGAATTGTTAACACCTTCGTTAAATCCATATGGTATTGACATTAACCTGCTTGATATTAAGAATAATATAATAAGGTTTGCACTAAACCTTATGACCTTTATGAATTCGAAATAGTGAAGCAATTCGGGAAGGTATATTAAGTAATATAGGTATTCGGCAGGTTAAATAATAAGATATAAGAAGATATGAATAAGATAGAATAATGAAAACATATAGATGCCTAGGGCTAGTATAGGTTTTCTAGTAGGCTATAATATTTGGAGAATATGGATTCCTCGCTAACATTATATTATTTTAGCTCGAGACTGTATTTTTAATAAAATTTATTAAATACATTACTAACTCTAATTAATAAACAGGTCAACTAATTAAAGCTTTATCCAAAGCCGAATTTAATAAAATTACTTAAAATATATCAGCCACAAGCAATAAATACAATCTAAATTAAATTGATTTAGACTATATAAGCATTAAAAATCAACAAAATATTAAAACAAATAATAAAATTTCAGGTAATTAACCTATATTAATCTAACTTTATTTATTTTAGTCGATAATACGTTTTAATCAGAATAATTATTTTAACTAAAATAACCAAAATCATAACATGTATAGAATTTATAAAACTTAAGGCATTGATAAATACTTTGAAACCACTTAATACTATTGGTTTAAAACATAACCTGACTTAGACAGTGTATATAAAAAACATGAAATATTTACCTGACCTAAAAAATCGGCATAAATTATTAAATTATCCTTTTGATACACTTGGTTATTAGTATTAAAGAAAATATAAAAAACTAATAGATACTACTATTAAAATGGGTAGTTACATATAAAATTAATAACCATAAATATGTAGCTAAATTTAAAGCTAGAATACATGTTAGAGGTGACCTGCAAGTTTTAACTAAAGCTTTACTTTATTAGCCCTAATAGCCATATTTAACCTTAAATCTATGTAATTTAACATAGTTAATACATTTTTAAGTAGTCCTCTAAATAAGACTATTCATAGTATCCGCCTGGATATGGCTAGAAAGGCAAAGCTTTAAAATTAAGTAAAGCCTTATATAGTTTAAAGTATTCGCCTTTACTATGGTAAAAGGAAATAGGAAAAACACTAACAGAATTAGGTCTAAAACCTATTTCTAAAGATCCATGCCTATTTCTAAATAATATGCTTATATTAATAATCTTTATTAATAATATAATTAATTATATTATATTATTCGAAAAATCATAAAAAAGCGTGGGAATTTAAATATAAGTTTTTGCAGAAATAGACCTAATAGAAATTCATAGGTCTGCCAAGATATATATATTAAAAAAATTGCGAATTGTTTTTACCTAATTTAAAGACACCCAAAATGCCTCCGCCATTAGAAAAAAGGGCCTGACCCTAATTATAAAGCGACTACAGCATTTTTTGAAAAATATTAGCAGAAAAATAGGTCTAGCATATATGCAACTATAATATCTAGGCCTAATACTGCTAAGGCAGTCCAAGTTCTTTTAGAATTTTTACTAAATCCTATACCAATATATATATATTATAAACTATTTAATTGCATATTTATATAGTATATAATACTTAGCCATTAAATGCTCTGCTGAAAATAGTCACAAAGTAAAGAATTGAGGTTAAACCCTTTTATATTTACAGCACATGCCGCATATGCAGATAATAAAGACCGAAAAAGCTTTAAAGGTTTTATAGCTTTATTATAGACTAATTAACTGGGCTGCAAGAAAACAAAAAACTATTACTATTTCTACTACTAAAGCTAAATTACTTGCTTTAACTAGCAGTAGTAAACAATTATACTGGAAGCGCTATTTGATTTATTAGAATTAGGGCTTAACCAAAAATTTCAGATTTACTGCAATAATTAGCAAACTATTAATCTTTTAACTGAAGAAAATATAATATTTAAAATTAAAATATATTAATATCTAAAATCACTGGCTGAGGCAAGAAATTCAAGACAATAAATTAAATATTAAATAAATAAATATCTACTAATATTATTAGTAAAAATAATAATAATCTCAGCTTAAAAATATATATTAATTAATATATATATATATATAAGCTGGGGGGGGGGGAATATTTAGATATATTTTAATTATTTAATTAACTACTTAATTACTTAACTAGGAAACAGAAATCTCGGTGGCCTGTTCCGCTGTTCCGAACTTCGAAAACTATATATAGGATGGATCCTAATCCCGAGATTAATTTGGAAAACACCAGGATGTTAAAGGTATAAAAGCAGCTTAAACCCTGCTCGGAATATAAATAAACATATAGAAAAGTTACGTACTTGCTTATATTATAGTATAGGCTTATAAATAATTAATATACTTATTAATATATTACAAGGGCCCTATTAAAGTGCTTTATAATACATCTATTACAAGAAGCATATATTAATATTGCATCTTAATTTTTTTAAAGTTGATTAAATAAATTTAGGAATTTGCTTCTTGTACGAAGCTTCCCCCAATTTTCTGATATAGCTATTAAAGGTAGTAGTATTAAAGAGCTATAAGAAGTATATAATAACAGCTGTTCTATCTGTACAATTATTAAGTGGAATTAACCTCCCAGATAGGCCTTTAAACTCCTTTGTACGGCCAGCTGAACTAGAAATATATGTCACAATACATTGTGAAGCTTTCGTAAGTAGTTTAATTGTATAAAAAGGAGCTTGTTTTTATATATTATCCCCTCCATCTTCTAATAATTTATTATCCGAGCTAAGTTAATATTCACTACATTTTAAAATGGGAATTCTGGCTTGTACCCCAAGTTAATAATATCTAATATAAAAGATTGGCCGATATTTGGGTTCAAAAAATATTTAGTAACTATACAACATAGCTTGTTATTTACAGTATAATTATTATAATTAATAACTTCAAGCTTTCATACAATTTCATAGTTTTTAAAACTGGATATAGTAATAAACTGCGCCTTTCAACTATAGTTTGTTACTATATATAAAGTAAGAAAAGTCTTTAATAACTTTTAACTTTGCTTAATAAGATGCGCACAAATACCAAAAAACCGGATTTGAAGAGGCACAGATAGTTAATAAAAAGCTTTTTTCTATAATATACTTTTGAGTTTGCTGTAATTTTAGTCTTTTTTGGAGCCGAGGAATGTGCTATAATAATATAGGCTTTTAATTCTAGATTAAGCGCCTAACAAAATGTATGAAATTCAGGCTATTTAGCAAGGTAAAATAAAAGTTTTTGTATAACAATTAAAAATACCAATACCTTATCAATAATAGTTTTATTCAAGACTTTTTTAAAAAGGCCTTAGTATTAATTTCTTGTGTTTAACCCGAGCTCTCGGCTTTCTTATATAACTGCTGTAATTGGTAAAATATAGTAAGGAAAACATTGCCATATCGTGACATATATTGTGTAACTGTTGGAAATAGGAGCCTAATATACCAGGCACCAATTACTACTGCAAAATACCAGCAGAACCACGGAAAAATTAAAAGTTATAATTTGTCACAGCAAATCTACTAAATTATTTTAATCTATTTCTATAAGCTTCTATAAAAAATTGATTGGCTATATAACTTTACTAATTTATAATATTAATCCATTTATTCTCTTATATATTATCATTGTTATTAGAAAATAAGAACATCAAAGATATTACTAATATTTACTACACCTTGCTTCCTCTACTACCTTAATATTATTCTATCTTATATTTTATAACTTAACCTGCTAAATACCTATATTATTTAATATGCATTCCCCAATTGCTTCACTTTCAAATTTCTAAAGGTGTTCTATATATAGAACAAACTTTATAATTTATTAATATTTGTTGAGAATCTCGGGGAAGAAGCTATGTCGTGAGGTGCTAGGATAGCGGTGACTGGATAGTATATTGAAACTATCGGTGCGATCTAGTATCGCATGGTGAGTGTGTTCGTCTATCTAGGAGAGAGAGCGTAGATAAACGCTTCCTTATGTCTACGTGTCCCTTAGCCCCTTAGCCCCTTGCGTGTGATATGTCAGATGGCTTCAGGACTAGGATACCCGAAGGTGCCTTAGGCATCCTATTTTTAACTGATTAAATAGCCGCACTCCACGAGTTGGTTTAACACTAAATAGTAAAAAATTAATACCTATACAGGAAGATGGCTTAGAAAATATATTTGTAATATTAATTAACATGGGCTTTATCCTATAATCAAGGCTATATAAAATATAGCCAGTATTCTTAGAACCTTAATTAGAAAACTAAGTCCCCTGCTTTATTAAATATTATTGCTTGTATATATTATATTTAAAATTACTTTATATAACTATAGTTATAAAAATTATAATAAACATATTTCTGATAAAGGTATATACTATCATTTATATAAATACACTATTAAATAGCAGTAAATTAGGTTAAGTATTAAAAAACTACTTACCTACTTTCTCCTAAAATATTATATAGTCTAGGATCCTAGTCCCTGCTATTAATATAAGAGATAGAGTTAAAATTAATTTCATCTGTCCGTGGTACAGGTTTTTCTCTGGCACCTGCCATCTTTGGGAAGAAATTAAGAATAATTCCACGAGGACTCTTGCTTTGTCTTTGTTGTCTATGAACCCCTTCGAGCCCATATTTAGTGGTGGGATGGTTGTAAGCTATCCCGGGGTTTTTATATGTTGCTGCTTTCCAAAGGAGCCCTTCCCTAGCCTTGTCTAGAAATTCCTTCCAATGTGCTAGCTTTGTCTTTTCTACAGTTCTGGTCCGGTTATGGCGCTTCAGGCGCAGGTCCTGGAACAGATATATAGTTACAGGATGGGTAACTACTTGCGACGTTGCTTGGTCAACTTCGAGCCGCTGAGATTTAAGTTCCGGAGTGAGCCATCGTTTCGGAGTATGGCGAGGGTCTTTGATTTGGTATATATAGGTCGAGGGCTGTAATTGTTACTTAAACAAGCTTCTCGACAGTAACGTCCAGCTCTATTTTGGAGCCAATACTAATCTCTGGCTCCATGGCCTCCCGTACTTGTTGGCCAATATTACTCCAGTTCGCAAGGTCGTATGCTCTTCTTGGTTTCGGGTCCGCATTGCGCGGGTTCAGATTCCATTCGGAGTATGTTGCCTAATGGTCTGACCTGCGGTGACTGTGGTACAGTTGGCGTTTAATAAGTGATGCGGGACGATTTGTAACAGTGCGATCGATAGTGGATGTCTTTCCAGGTTGGTTTAGGGACCAGAAAGTTGGGATGCCTCGGGGTAGGCGCCGTTGTAACTGGTGTTCATAAAAGTGAAACTGCCCTTTAGCGTGCTCGGCGAATATATGGCGGATCTGTCTGTGGGACCATGCATGATGTGTGGTACTGGTTATAGTCCCCGGACAGAATAATACGTGTTGGTCTGTCTACTTTGTTGGTGTTCTGTATTATCGTACGGCGGATCTGGTCTAGTACAGCTAGCGGTGGGCTTTCTCTTCTGACCTCGAATAGAGGACTGGTGGGATGTACACTGAGAGCAGAAGAAACTGGAGTTCAGGGGCCACCACATTCCGGGTGGTTGCAGCGAATCTGGCGGTGTGATGATGATGAGATTTTCCTGTTTATATAAAGAAGGCCACGGTATCGCGCTGACTCTTCTGCGTATGTTGGTCGGTAGAGCTCCCATGCACTGTGGCTAATATAAGTGTGTAAGCAGTAACTAGGGGTCTTGGATTAGTAGGGCGTTGAGGGTCTGGGTATGATGATCGTTGATAAAAGTTTCCATTCCTGGTTTTGATTTCATAATATTCAATTGTAGGAGGCGAAGTTTTGGCGATGTTATTGCGGGATATTAGTCTCCATTGAAGTCTGAACATCTTGCTCTAACTCCCGACGGGCCGCTGAGCGGGTCTGCACCTTGCACGACCATGCTAGGTATGGCCGTGTTGCTGACAGAGGTAATATCTTTTCCGCTTGATTTGATAGGCTTCAATACTGCCAATATATGTGTCCCACAAGAAGTCCGTTGTTTGTAATCCGCATGGCTGTTTCTGTTAAATCGGGCCGGATACCGGGCGATTAAAACCAGCCTTCAAAGCTTCATCTGCAGCCTTTTTAGCCATTAATTCGGGCTCTTTGGCCCTGATACGCTCAGTTTCTTCCTTCGCCTCTTGTATAGTCTTCATAATCTGCTTTATATTGCTAAACCTAGTATTTGGGTCATTTTCAATTCGCTTCTTAATCTTTGGCTTCCCAAAGGTCTTAACTTGCATTGCAGCGAGAAATATAGTCCTCCTGCAAGGCTTGGGCCGTATTCAGCTGGCCAATATGCTTGCTCACTTTCTGTAGAAAAATCCGGGTATCTCGGGGTAGTTTTTGAGTTTTGAAGAGTTGATTACTTGAGACTGGCGTTCGTTCCAGGAGTGGATGAAGAATTCAGCCTCGGAAACTAGCTGAGTAGAGGGAGGATTGAAGGTCTGGGAGGATCAAAGCGTACAAAGCGGTTATTAAGCCCTTGTCTGCATTAAAAGGATATAAACCAGCTCCTTTCCAGCCACTTTGCAGTATAGATTTGTTAAATACTATACTGCGAGTCTTCTGGTAGCATTGAATAAAACGCTCTTTCTTAATTGAGGCTGTGTCGTCCAAAAAGGCTAGAGGTATTTCCTTCCGATAGTGAGCTTTAACACTCGAAAACATACCAATATCAAAGAGGCTGAAGAACATGGGTTGTATAAGGTGGAAGAAATAAGAATTGAATATTATTTTTATGGCATTCCCATAAAAATTCAATGTGCTCATGGCTTCCGTGGCCATCTAATAGCAATAATCTGGTTTGACCGTCTGGTGGAGCTGTTTCCGGTAAAAAAATAGTTTTCAACTAGTTAAGAGCAATAGAATTTAATGTCCAGCCATTCTCTGATGTTGCATATAGCCAGTCTGGTATGGAGTTTGGTTGAAACCAGGTTGTTTGAAGAGACTTACCTTTAAAAATAACCAACGGCCGAAGATACCGGCCGAGTGGATTAATGGTCTCTTGACACCCACTCTTTATTTTCCGGCCCTTGAATAAGTGTATGCTTTTTTCCACTCTCTGCCACTACTGTAGAGTTTGTACAGATCCCAAGACCAATTCGATGCTCATCTATATTCGACATATTTTCTGGTTGTATGTAGTATTTGGTTGTTATCTCTTGGAAAAGCTTATAAAAAGTACGGATATGTTCTGGTCTGGTTCCTGTATGCGGCTTGATAGTATCCTTCGGCCTATATAGCTTTGAACGCGCGGATTCAGTTTTTTAAAGCTAGAGAGCCAGTCTTTTCCTAACGGTGCAGTGTCGCCATTGATGCGGAGGATTCGGAGGGCAATTTCACGCATACGGGTGATGCTAGGAGGAAATCCTTGTTTGTCCTAGCTTATAATCCAATCAGCAAGAAAGCTCTCTTGAACTGGAGTCGAACACTGCGAAGCTTGATGAGCAATGGTCTTGTGAAGTACACCCTCATCCGGCCATGAAGGCTGGAGAGGGGTAGGTTATATATAGCCTTGAAGCGGCTCGTAGAGATGGAGTTCTTTTATATCTGAAATCTTCAATAGCTGCTTGAATAGTTCTCTCGCGATCGTCCATATTAAGGCGTTTGGTGGTGTGGTAGGTGGTTGTTTTGAAAAAGTGGGATGCGACGCGGTGTTCGGGATCTACAGGTGATCGGGATGTAGGTGGCCGAACTTATCCCTTGGCTGTAAGAATAAGGAACGGCGTTCGTGGGGACAGTTGCTTTCGGCGAGCTTATGCTGGACAGTTGGGATGGCGGTATCCAGGGGGCCAAAAGGTGTATGCGCCCCCGGATGTGCTGGGGAATCCTCAAGGCCGTTGCCAATACGTAAATGGCGCCCGCAGAGTGGGAAGAGTGGAGAACTTCTTTACTTTCAGATAATTGCATAGAATGGCAACATCGTCTACCGAGTATCAGTACTCTTGCCTCTGCATATATGGATTGACAGTCATGGAATTGTGCTTACCAGGCCAGCTGAGAGGAGTATTTCCTCCATAATTTTGTCTATATTTTGTGCCTTGTTTCCTTCTAGGTTGAAGTCTTCAGTAGGAGTGCTGTGGACTACGATCCTAAACTGCGGGGGCTTTAAGAACTACTATACACCTCAGTGGCGCCTTGACTTGGTTGTTCAGCTAATTCCATATTTTTTGGTAATTTTCGTGTAATTTTCCTTTTCGCCTGCCTCCAGGCTTTCTATGTCTTCAAGAGCCGCTTCAATTTGACTTCATTTTGGTGGAGTTATAAAGATTTAAATCCCTATGTCAAAAAGTTCGTGGGGGCCAAAATCGGGTGTTTGGTGGTCCTGGGTATTTGGTGCGGTATACACAGTAGGTGGACTGTCGAATCTTACAAGATGCCCTTTGAAGGTTACGGTAACTCTTGGTAACAAGCTGTCGACCACATCGCTTTAACGTATTGACTAGTATTCAACTCCATAAGTAAATGACGGTCGGACTCTTTTAGTTATCTAGTGACTAGGATCTGACTAAGATCTAAATTAATCACTAATATCATATGAATTGACACGTAGTCCAGAGTTAGGATATAGTAAAAGGTAAGATCTTTAATCATTTTATCCAACAAGTAATAGATCGTCCACGGTCCATCCGGCTCAATGCCTTCGGAGGTTGGAGGTGCTGGGGGAGATGAGGGTACGCGGAACGACGCGTCCATATCAACGCGTCGGATGTTATCTTTGAAAACGCTGGGTGCACCACCTCGTCGTCAACTTGCCCGCTATGGAGTTAAGCCGGTGCATTATATCCAGGCCTCAAAAATATCCGCTCGAAAAATGGAAACGCGAAAGGAATCGATAGCTCTGGGCTCCATCAAATGATGCTCAGACTAGCTGAGGTTAACAAGATTCGTGAAACACCAGGTAGCCAACCAGCATAGACAAAGGGACATAGAAAGCTGCCGACATGAAGTGGAACCCTAGAAGATGCTCACTCAGCTACAGTCAGAAATAATTAAGGTGAAGCAAGCACTGGCAAGGACTTATGAAGAATCACAAGTCACGAAGACAACATCCAGCGATGACAACGCGAATAGGCACAACCTGGACGAAGAAGTCCGGCATGGCTTGGAAACGATGCGCAAGGATATTACTGAGCGCAAGGAAAGCATTAGCCTTCAGCCACCCAACACTCTATTCAATCATGAGCAACCGCACGAGGCCAACCCTGGCGCAAGCTGGGCATCAATAGTTGATACTACCAAGGCGACTCCAAACCCTAAGAATACAACACGGGCAAAACCTGATCTACCTATAATTACTTTGGATACCCATCATGTCGATCATCAGCTGAAGGAGTCTTTCCGGGAGTCTTTCCGAGAGCCGGTGGAGCTCCGAGGACTGAAGTCACATAGTCAGAGAGAATGTTAAAATCCGAGGTATAAAACTAGTGCCTGGGGATGCAGTCAAGGTTTTTTTAAGCGAAACTGAAGAGGTGGTGCGCCTGAGAGAAACATTATAACTGGCTGGAAGCCCTACAATGCGGGACGAACAATGGTTTCCTGTTGAGATACATGATGTCAGGAAAGCAGATGTTTTCGACGAGCAAGGGCAGCTACAAGTTGACTTTACCAGAACATTCAGCCAAGTGAATGAAGGTGCGCCGGTGAAGATAATCAGATGGCTAGGCAGGTGCAAACAACACAGCTCTGTGGTAGCTTTTCTTACTAAAGAAAGGGATGACTCGGCGCTGCTAATGCGCAAAATTATACAAATCCGCGGTGAAGTGGCACTCACGGATAATATATGTTATCGACGAGAAAGGCCACTGCGATGCCATAACTGCCAGCAGTATGGGCACAAAACAGCCAGGTGCATAAATTATACTTTTTGTGTGTGTGTGTGTGGAAGATGCTCAGCAGCACATACAACAGTCGAATGCGCTTCTAACACTGTAGGGTGCGCCAAGACAGATAAACACACCGCCACCAGTTCCTCCTGTGACAAATGGAAAGAAGAGATGGCCGAGATAAGTAACCATGGTTGAACAAAATCTCCAACCGCGTGCAGCTTGAGTATGAACTTTAAGCCAGTCCAAATACTCCAGGCCAACCTCCGAAAAGGGCGCGAGTTACAACTGAGCCTCCTAAAATGCCAGCTCTTCAAGAAACTACCACATACTAATAATATCCGAACTAACTAATGGAATTCAGAAGTTCCTATCCATAAGGAAGACATCAGTACTCCCAACATCAGACCACAAACCAGGCGGCAGCATGAGCGGATATTGAAGTATGGCCTGGGTAAACCGAACTGGACCAGAAACAACACAGATTACAGCAGTGCTAGTGCACTCAGAGCACCCTATTCTCGCTGTTTCGGTGTACATGCCACCACGTACTGGGAGTGAAGACATGCTTTATCTGACAGGAATATTTCAACTCGTCACAACTGTAATTCTTAATCTAAAGAGATAATATAATCACTAACTAGAGCTAATAGTAGTGGGCAACTTTAACCGGCACCATCGACCATGGGGTGGCAATGTTGCAATACCCCAAAGCCGCCATCGAGGCAAAAATGGGCCCAATTATACACTTCATGGCAGACATTGGCCTGGAGTGACTTTTACAACGAGGGACAATAACATTCGAAGCACGCACCGGGAGCTTAACTGTTAACTTGGTGCTAGCATCATTCAATGCCACGTCCACCCTGTGGAACAAGGGTCAGATCACCGGGCCATCCAGTCAATATTTAGAACCACTAATCCGGTTCTCCCAGCTTTGCAACCTCGGTGTCTCTTTCGCCTAACTAACTGGGACGAAGTCCAACAGGCACTGGCCCGTATCAGCGATACAATGGGCGATATTCAAAGTCATAGGGAGCTCGACATTCAACTTTAAACCTTGATCAGTGCGGTTACACGGGTGCTAAACTGTCTAGCTACTATGCCCAAGCCATTACATTACTGCAAGAGACGGTGGACAGCTGAGCTGAGGGAGCTACGCCACGAATAATCCCTGACTCGGAACCAGAGTACACGGGCTAGAAACTACGGCCTCCCCTGGCAGGACCTAGAGGAGCGGGCAATGGTCCTGCGTTAACAGCTCCACACGGCAACCCGAGACCAAAAGAGAAAATACTGGCAAAATTCCTTCAGGAGACAGACAATACCCGTCACCTCTGACCCATACTCCGCGGTATGGGGCATCCCGGGCTCACGGTTTTATGTGCTCAATCACACTTTACCCTCCATGGCCACGTTGAAGCTATTTATACCCTCCCTGGGCCATAATCAATACAATATAGTGGTTGACCATCATCTCCAGTCACCCAGCTACTATTTTCATCCGACCACTATTCTCTAGGCCCTCTGTTGTGGCCCTCTGTGCTACAGCGCCTTGCAGGTTCGGCTTTACCTGATTTACACTCTTCAACTCTTTCTAAGCGCCACTCCCGCGGCCTAATCTATCCTAGGTTTAGACCTGAATTGGAGTAATTTATGGCCTGTATGGAACGTAACATTACCGGAATTTCCGATGCTAGAACATGGTTTTGTACAGTACATACGCAAATTTAATGACCCAGTTCGTCAAAGAAGTGGTTCGACTTAAGCTAACTAGTAAATTTTTCAACATAAATCCAGTATAACATGTACAGAATATTGTAAAGTATCCTTGCATGGAAGGAGAAAGTGGCTACTAAACTTTGAAAGAGCCAACCTTCAATTTATGAATCACCTATTCAAGCGAGTTAACTGCTTAGTTAGGATCACTAGGTGGTTAACCACTAATCTACTCCTCCAGCTCAATTCGTCCGTTGCCAGCTTAATGGCGCAGACTACGGTGGCGCCAAATTAATCAATGTCTTGTAAGTCTTGACCTCCTGGCGTGGGGGAGGGTGTTCTGGAAGCGATAAGAAGGGGGTGATTTCCAATAAGTAAGTTTGCAGCTGACAGTCTCTGGGTGTAAGGTAGATTGATGAGCTCTTCACGGGGCGACTGAGCGATCATTATACCTGTAGGCCCCGGTGAAATTTCCTGCATATGTTGCAAACGTTCTATTTCAGTGGGCGCTGCTGGGGGTGTATGGTTTGGGGATGAATTATACTTATCCATCCAGTCGCTAAGAGCACAAGAGGAGGATCTGGTATCTGGGTGATTAGGCCCTAATACTTTGCTGCGCAACTCAGAACATTTTTCCATTAGAGCCAAAGCATATTGAAGCTTCCCTTGGGATTCCAAGGTATAGGCGAGGTTATTCATGCTGGTCAGAGTGTCAGGATGCTCAGCTCCCAGACTGTCTTCCTTGTCTCCATACTTGACCCCAGCTTCTCAGCTTATTCCATCGTCCCTGATTCCAGGTTGATGCCAGGTTCGCCATGCTGGTCAGAGTGTCAGGATGCTCAGCTCCCAGCACTGTCTTGCTTGTCTCCATGACTTGCACCTCCAGCTTCTCAGCTTTATTCCATCGTCCCTGATTCCAAAGGTTGATGCCAGGTTCGCCATGCTGGTTAGAGTGTCAGGATGCTTAGCTCCCAGCGCTGTTTTCCTTGTCTCCATGACTTTTACCTCCAGCTTCTCAGCTTCATTCCATCGTCCCTGATCCCAAAAGGTATAGGCGAGGTTATTCATGCTGGTCAGAGTGTCAGGATGCTCAGCTCCCAGTACTGTCTTCCTTGTCTCCATGACTTGCACCTCCAGCTTCTCAGCTTCATTCCATCGTCCCTGATTCCGGTAGGTTGATGCCAGGTTCGCCATGCTGGTCAGAGTGTCAGGATGCTTAGCTCCCAGCACTGTCTTGCTTGTCTCCATAACTTGCACCTCCAGCTTCTCAGCTTCATTCCATCGTCCCTGCTTCCGGTAGGTTGATGCCAGGTTTGCCATGCTGGTTAGAGTGGCAGGATGCTCAGCTCCCAGCACTGTCTTCCTTGTCTCCATGACTTGTACCGCCAGCTTCTCAGCTTCATTCCATCGTCCCTGATCCCAAAAGGTTGATGCCAGGTTCGCCATGCTGGTCAGAGTAGAGGGATGCTCAGCTCCCAGTACTGTCTTCCTTGTCTCCATGACTTGCACCTCCAGCTTCTCAGCTTCATTCCATCGTCCCTGATTCCGGTAGGTTGATGCCAGGTTTGCCATGCTGGTCAGAGTGTCAGGATGCTTAGCTCCCAGCACTGTCTTGCTTGTCTCCATGACTTTTACCTCCAGCTTCTCAGCTTCATTCCATCGTCCCTGATTCCAAAAGGTTGATGCCAGGTTCGCCATGCTGGTCAGAGTGTCAGGATGCTCAGCTCCCAGCCCTGTCTTGCTTGTCTCCATGACTTGCACCTCCAGCTTCTCAGCTTCATTCCATCGTCCCTGATTCCGGTAGGTTGATGCCAGGTTCGCCATGTTGGTCAGAGTGGCAGGGTGCTCAGCTCCCAGCACTGTCTTGCTTGTCTCCATGACTTGCACCTCCAGCTTCTCAGCTTCATTCCATCGTCCCTGATTCCGGTAGGTTGATGCCAGGTTCGCCATGCTGGTCAGAGTGTCAGGATGCTTAGCTCCCAGCACTGTGTTGCTTGTCTCCATAACTTGCACCTCCAGCTTCTCAGCTTCATTCCATCGTCCCTGATTCCGGTAGGTTGATGCCAGGTTTGCCATGCTGGTCAGAGTGTCAGGATGCTTAGCTCCCAGCACTGTTTTCCTTGTCTCCATAACTTGCACCTCCAGCTTCTCAGCTTCATTCCATCGTCCCTGATTCCGGTAGGTTGATGCCAGGTTTGCCATGCTGGTTAGAGTGGAAGGGTGTTCTGGACCATCTTTCTCCTGATTAATCCTCATCAGCTCGTTGTATAGTGCCTCTGATTCTTGGTATCTTCCATCACTAGCAAGGCAATCTGCAATCTTTTTAACCAAATCGATGTATTGTTCCTGTTGTATAATAAATTCATTTTCATGCACAAGTGCCAAAGCATGAGGAAGGTATTCTCGCCAAAGTCCTCGATTAGTATAGTGATTATGTGGAAATATCTTCTGTATACGATCAGCCACTCTTTGGATCCAGTGACTAAACAGTCCATTCTTTCTAAGCCAGTTCCGGGTTGCAATATGCACAAGTCTGTGCATATTTATATCCATGTTCTGGCTGTTGGTGAATGAGTACGCATTCAGAAGCCCCAAAGCGTCAAGTCTTTGTTTCCTGGATGCTTGGAGAGGAAGAAGGGACTGGGGAATATTTTTTGATCAATACAGGCCATAAAAGATAGATAGTCTGCTGCTAATTGATCTTGATGCTGAATCTGTCTAAATGATACTAACCAGGTACTGATCACAGGGTTCTGGATATCCTTATAGCGTCCTGGATCCCTAAAGTCTTCACTAAGGAGTTCCACAGTATCTTGTTCCTGCTCTTGGAGAAGTGCAAGGTAGGTAGACAAATTTATACCGTTTTCGATAATATATGCTGCTGCCTGTGTAATTGCCAAAGGTAGAAAGGCTAGTTGCTCTAAAAGAGTAGCTGATATCGTACTATCTTTAAGCAAGTCTTTATTTTCCAATGTTCTTTCTAGAATTTTTAGTGCGGTTTCTCTATCCACGTCTGGAATTGGAACAGTGTTGAAAGGTGCCAGCTTCATGGCGAGTTTTCGGTTTCGGGTAGTGAATAGAATACGGCCTTGTCCACCCTCAGGTAGAAGATCCTCAAGGGCCAGAGCTGTGTCACTAGCTGTTAACCACATCTCGGTATCATCCGCATTATCAAAAATTAAAAGCCACTTTCCTGCACGCTTGGAGGTGAGGTATATCTTGATCTGTTCTTTAACCTCTGATGCCTTCACGTCACCAAGTTCGAGTGTCTGTGCAATGTTTAAGAATGTCTGCTCAATAATTGCATGGCTTGTACATGGAATCCAGAAAATTAAGCACTCCTTATCTTGGTCACGTATGCGGTGTGCTATCTCTAGGGCCACTTGTGTCTTTCCGACCCCTCCTAAACCAGTGATTGCAATCCTTCTGGGCCCATCTTGCATTGTGATTAATCCTTCTAGCTTCCTAATTTCATTCTGGCGACCAACAAAGTTCGGGTTCCTTCCTAGCGTAACCACCCAGTGCCGCACTCTACTGCACTTTAGCAGGCCGCAGTCTGTGCGGGGGACAGGCACGACTGATAACAACATTTTTGTATATGCAGCGGCTGTCAAAGCTGCATATCCTTGCCACTGTTTTTGCTTATGGGAGTCGCAATAGTCGCATATCCCTCGGATTACAAGCGTCGGAAGCCCGTCCATAAGGCCTGCTGCCTCCATCTCAAAGCAGAGTATCCCATGCTGTTGAGCTAGATAGTCTCGTGTTTCCGAGTCCTTTATTACTTGATCTCCCGATGCAATCAGCCCATAATGGATATAAGGTGACCTGGTACCACGCATTTGTCGTTTAACTAATTGTTCTTTATCACACTTTTCACAGCTATCTTCATTGTCTGCATGGTGGTAGGAGGAATGGAAAAGAAAATCTGTCTGCTCTTGTGGAGGCGAAAATCTTTCCTTTAAATTAGGGTTTTGTTCCAGTACTTCTTGCACTATCATTAAATAGTATCCTCTCTTCTCGTATTCGGGTTGCTTCAAGTTGAGCCATATGCGTTAAGAGGGTCTGTGGGGTTTGTTTAAGGCCGTTGGCTAAATTGCCACCTTGAATCGCCTTGCCATAATCATATGTACACCCCACTATACTTTCCATCCGGCTTGCTGATCACCACATCACCTAACCGAATGTCATTGCTTGTGCTTGGGACACCTCCTCCAATTCCTACCATCAGTCCAAATTGGATCCGCGGAAAAGTTGAAACCACATGAGACACGACAGTTGCAGCCGATATTGTTCCATATACACCTGTTGGTAGGCAAGCAACGACAATATAATGGCCGTTCAATTCACCAAGCACATACGCGTTCGGATCAGTGGGCAGTTTAGGTAAGGGATTATGGATTCTATCCAGCATGACCCTCGCTGCCGCCATCTCCAGCGGCAAGGCGCATATCCACGCGATTGCGTAGTCATCGTTCGTTAAAGAGGTCATGGTGAATCAAAAAAAGCAACATGATAAAACAAGTCAAGCCCAGGTATCCCGATAATGACTTTTCAAATGTGAAAACAATTTTATTGTGGGCAGGAGAATGCAAAGCACTGATTATCAGGCTGGGGAAAGAGGGGTAACAGCTACGTGTTCCTGCAAGGCTGCGAACTCAACCCACAGTCGCCTAGCTACGGGCATACACGTTATTATTAATTGGAGTCAATAGGAATCCATACCGGGAGTATACCTATATATTTTTTGGACATACAACTTTATTCAGAACTTGATTTCTTATTCCAACAAATCTTTCTTGGGGAGAATGTCTGGTATTAATTCCTGACTCACGTGCCGTAACAGGAATTACTATTATCCGAAGGTTGCCTATTCCTGCCAGCTGGCTTGCTAATTCCATGGATTCTCATCCAACATCTGGCCCGCCAGGCAACCATTCCCCGCGAGTGTTAGGGCCTCTGAGGATTATCTATTCTTCTACTGTTCCTATGGCACCAAATCTTCCACCATGGAAACGAAAACTTATTCAGGATATGATAAATAATACGTCACTGACCACGAATGAGATAGCATATGAAGCCAAATGCACCAGGCAAACTGTGAGTAGCATTCGCTCGAATTTAGAATGCTTTAGCGAAGTTGAAGCCCCGCCAAAACAGGTAGGCCCGCAGCGAAGCATCACCCCTTTGATGCTAGAATATCTCTGTAGACACCTGCGCGAACGACCCCACCTCTATTTGGATGAAATGGCATCCTTTCTTCAGCAACATTTTAATGTATCTGTCTCCCGAGCACCATCAGCAGAGCGCTTACTGAGAAAGGCTGGTCAAAAAAGGTAATTCGACAGATATCAAACCGACGCAATGCGGATTTGCGAGATTTCTACCTCTATAAATTGTCTCAATTTCAGTCGTATCACCTTGTATATGTGGACGAGTCTGGATGTGACAAGCGGGCGGACGTCGGCGGACTGGTTGGTCTCCACTTGGGGTAACACCGGTCCAACTCTCCGAGTTCCAGCGAGGGCAACGGTATCATATCTTACCGGCATATGCTCAGGATGGCATTGTCCTCTCCAGGATCTACCAGGGGTCAACCGATGCCGCCGTGTTCGAGGACTTTATCGAACAACTGCTCCATCATTGTGGTAGATGGCCAGCTGCAAAGTCTGTCTTAGTAATGGATAATGCCTCTTTTCATCATTCTGAGAGGATCAGACAATTGTGTCGGGATGCAGGAGTAAAGTTGTGTACCTGCCACCCTACTCGCCTGATTTAAACCCGATTGAGGAGTTTTTCTTGAGCTCAAGAGCTTTATTAAGCGAAGCTGGCAGCTCTACGTGGACAGCCCTGGCCGAAATTTCCAGGGCTTTCTTCAGTGGTGTGTTGGCGTTGTAGGTGCACGGGAGCAAAGTGCCGCAGGCATTTCCGGCATGCTGGCTTAACAATTAACGAGATGCAATCATCTGCTATAGCTGTCTAGTTGGCTTAGTGACGAAAGACGCACTCATGTGGCATAGGAGGCATGCTCAACTGAAGTACAACTTATAATAGAAATAGATTTATAACGAGAAGACGCAACTTTGATTCGAATCCAAATAAGATAAATTTGAACGTAAAACCAGCCAAATAATAAACCTAGCAAGAAAGAAAATGATGCTTGGAATGTACAGTATTATATAAGCCGGCGATATCAATCGAACTCGGAGTAATCCATCTGCTCTTTACAAATTTCAGCCCATTCAATAATGTCATCAACGAAACGATGGGCCGTGCCTATTTTCACCTCTCTCTCTATGAAAAAAAGTTTGGATCTGGGCGATTAAGGATCTGTTGCAAATCAAGGCCATTCTTGAGTGCCACTTGACACGCTTTCCGGTAATCATTCTTAAGGTCATAGTCATCCACTTTTGACGCATGCCACTCGCTGTAGTTCCTGACCGCTACATCTCGAGGCCCAGCAATATCAAGACGTTTGCACCGTGATGTGCTTGAAGGTGGTGTATCTGGAACTGCAGCCTGCGTCGTGGCTGGAATGGATGATAGCGCTTGCGCAGGCAAAACAATGTTAATTGGAGAGCAAGTGCCCCCATGTGCTAACGAACCTTTATCCTTAGATTTTGTCTTCAAGACCTTTTCCTCTGCCTTCAGCTGTTCATGGAACCAATCAGGAATGTCATTTTCGGTACGCAAGATACCACCACCATTAACAAAATCAATGAGACTTGAGAGGTGATGCTGAGTCAGCGGGAAGTGCTTTTGGGACACAGGGTCCTCAAAGCAGTGCACTCCTTGCTTACAGGCCTTATCACGACAACGCATTAGTTGATAGACCTGCCGCCAAGAACTAGACAAGCCAGAGGTGCGTTCGGCATTTAGCTGGTCCTCCTTCTCCACTTGCATCCTTTGGGTCGCTGATGATCCTCTTTTATCTCCCTTTTTTTGACATGATCGACTGTCCCCAAGATAATAGAATGTAATAATCAGCCTAAGTTTCTTCCCAGCACGGAACAAATCGCCCCAGTCCAGCAGCTGATCCTCTACGAGGGACCAATTAATATTGGTCTTCTCAAACCGCTTAGTAAGATTATGTTCAGAACGGTCGTTGATTGCAACAGTTATTGCAGTGTCATCAGGACGAACACGCTGGTCACGAGAAAATTTCTGCCCAACAACCCTTTCTAGTTTTGGGTTGAGGAATTTGTCCCAGTAGGCACTGGGAGCTAACACCAAGTTTTGCTCCGTATCGCTTACTACAACCCGCTTATTTAATGCAAGCTTCCACTCAATAGAGTAGTGAATACAGATGGGTGGCTGCTCATCATATGCTCTTTCCTCCTCCCAGTCATCCAGCCCTAGCAAGGGAAGCCTAGCCTGTATTTGGGATGGGGTGGAGTAGCGCACATATGGGCCGCCGTGGTGAGAGCTAATATACTAAAGTTCGAAGGTGAGGTTGGTGTTCCGTGGAAACCCCGGGGGTGGGGGCATCCCATGTTGGAACGTTCATATGGAGAAGCTTCTCGGGGGAGAAGGGATTGGCCATGATCGCCTGCGAACCACGGTACGCTATTGAGCCTCATCATATTAGCATCTCCATATTCTTTCGGGTGGCACCAGCAACCAGTTACATTACGAGGATTGCCAGTAGGGTGTAGGATCTCGGTGTATATGCAGGCTAAGCGCCTTGTACGACGGAACATTCAGCCAACGGAATGCACTAGACAAGCAAGCCTAATATCGTATTTATCAAGGCAGCAATTCCTTCCAAAATGAATACGAGAAAAATCAAGAAAATCAGTTCCTCTTGAAGGTGCCAAAGTCTTGGTTATCACACCTATTCCAGAGGTGTTTGAAGAGACAAGAAGATGACACCTGGCCAGTCTGTGCGGGCACACTCTTTGTCTCTTTGTTGATGTTTTGTCTGGTTTGCAGGGAACATTCTAGATAGGGAAGGCAAAATGTAATTTCAAAAATTGAAATTTCATGAAATCTGGCCTCCTGAAATGAAATCAAAATCTGTGAAATTGAAATTGAAATTAAGCTAATCCAAAATAGGCAATATTAAAGGTCATGTGCTTTGTTACCAGAAGCTCCGATCCTCTGCTGTTGAGTAGGTTGTTGATAATGGTCCGCCACCCCATGAGACCATTCAGACTGACGCTTTACTCCGCTACCAGTACCACTACTTATTTCAATACCATGGATTTCGCCCGTTCTGATAGAAGCTGAAGGCCTGGGACATGTTAAAAGGGGATTTGGTACAGATTTTGTCTCAGTATGCGAATTCGAAAGCTGGGGGGACTTGAGGCTGAATTTAACACGGAATTCAGTCTTGAATTTAATGCAGAAACAAGTGCCGGGTTTGTTGCAGTTGAAGCTGAATTTAATGCAGAACTTAATACTGCAATAAGTGCTGGATTCGACGCTGGTTCTGGTGCTGGATTTGGTACTGGGTTCGGCACAGGGTCCGGTGGAATATCCTCCTCAGAGTCTGAAGTATCAAGCACCTCTAATAGATAGTCCTGCACCTGCTTACGCTGCAGTATTCTTTCTATCTCCTGATCTTCCTCCTCAAGAAGCATCTCTTGGGTAACGGTAGGTGGCGAGTCTGCACGAAATTGTCGTTTGTTAATCTGTATATAAAGTAGCTTCTCAACTCGGTGAGATTCAAGCCGATTCCGGATCTTTGTATGCTGCAGATTCATCTGTGAAAATGCTCTCTCAGCTGCAGCAGAATTAGCAACAGTATTACACAGACGGCGAGCAAAAGGAGCAAGAGTAGGAGCAAATTCTGCCTAAATTAATATAGGTAAGTATCTTGCTTAATAGCATATAGCTTTAACTTACTGCCTCAAGCCAAAAGAGAGCTGGTGTTCTTGCTTCCCAACAAGAGGAATTATAAAAGCACCTGTTCTTTGCCGGAATGCCAGAAATTCATGCCATGCAGTAGATCTTCCATCTTCGCTTTGAAGTGGTCGTAAAGCACCTTCAATATGGCGTCGTGCGCTCTCATCAAGTTTGCCAGGAACTCTTGCTGGATCAAGATGATACGCTACCCAGTGAAGTGGCTCTAGTTGACGTAGCATTCGAGTCTGCCAACCAGTGCCATCTAGATAAGAATAAAAATCATCTTTAAAGGATGTCTGAGCAGCAAGCGTCCGCAGAGTCTCATGGAGGGTTAACCACCGCTGCGTTACCTCCATGATTGATGAATTTTGGGCCTCAGATTCCTTCTGAGCAATATGCAGAGGCTTAAGGATTTTTATTAACTCCTTTAGCTCCCACCAAAAGGCATGAGATTTAGTTGTTCTAATCACCTCTTTCCCTTTTATGGTAGAAGCAGCAGGAGTAATAAGAGCCCACTCACAAACTGCTTCCTGGCAATCATAAAGAGAAGTAAGCATGCCATATTGAGTACCCCATCGGGTAATAACTGCTGCAATTAAAGCCTTTCGATGGCCCCATTTCTCAATCTGCTTTGCTTGCAGCCTTGCATATTCAAGAGGAGATTGGTGAAAGAACACCACAACTTCAAGAGCTGATTTAAAACCCCTTTTACTTTAGGGATCTTAGAAGCATTAGGATCAAGAATATCCTTCATAATCAGCTGTAGACCATGAGAGTCACAGGGAATCATAAAGGCATGCTTAAGCTCTGGTTTCTCTGACAAAATTTGCCATACTGCCTTCATAACACAGCAGGTATCCGTTGAAATGGAATTAATCCTCTTCCAGTCAACAACTTTATCAAGCTCCAAGAGAATATTATGGAGCCTTTCCAAAATCCATTCACTAATTGTAGCAGCATCAAGCGTCTTATCTTCCATGTCATGTAGATGAAGAAACCATGATTTTGTGGGTGTTGTAATAGTCATAGCAATAACCCGTTGAGAACGTATATTTGTTGTCTCATCTACAGAGATATTTAGAAACTGACTTCTCTGTAGCTCCTTCCGAACTTTCCCTTGTATCTCGATATATGATTCCTCCAGTAAGTCATCAGCGATTCGATGGCGGGATGGGATTTGGTATACGGGATTTAGAGCATGAATAAGATCTTGCATCTCTTGTTGCTCGAAAAGGCTAAAGGGCCTGCCTCCTGTAAAACACACCTGAGCTAGTAAGCGATCAATACTTCTACTTGGTTTAGAGGTAGGGAAGCTTAATGGTTTCTGTCTCTTTCCAGGAGTATTCTCGGGGTCCATAAGAGCCTGCGCGCTGCTACATTTCTTCACGTGCTCGCACTGGCGTGTAGTGTTTTTCGCTCGAACTTTGAAGCACCCAAGGCATTTTACTTGCGGGACCTAGCCAAAATTAATAAAGCGTACGTGTGGACGTGGGTGTACAGTCACCTTTGTGCTGCCCCTTACTACTTCAAAGCACTTCTGAAGCTCGATCTCGGTGTAATGGATCTTGTCAGGAGAATCTTCAGCCATGCTGATGTTGATAATATTACTAGTTTAAAATCCTCCCCGTCAATATATATATATTGGTAATGGTTGCTACCAGTGACACTAGGCATTTTAGATAAGTGTTAGATTATATGGGGGTATGAAGTTGTTGTATTCAGAAGGATTCTCTGCCCAACCCCTCTATGAGGAGTATTGGGTATATATATTCACATGATGTCCCAATATGGACTAGCTTTATTCTGACACACCCCCCTCAGGTTCCAAAACATCCTTTGAACCTGAACTTGAAGCTATTCCCATATTCATTCTCCACACAGAATATCATCAAATTCATCAAAATGTCGATGATTTTCATCCTCCCCTTTTGTCCTCTGCCTAGATATGTCAACTAGACCAAGCTGCTTCACAAATAGCTCGAATTTCTCCCTTGGAAGCGCCTTGGTGAGTCCATCTGCCAACATCTTGTTGGTGGGGCAATATTCAATTTGGATCCTTCCTGACTCTGCCTCTTGCCTTAGCCAGTGATTATGGATGTCCACATGACGAAGCCGTGTTTGCAGTCGGTTGATGTCCTCATTAACAAGTCGGATTGTCTGCATATTATCACATAGAATGTGAACTTGATGATTATCCAGGTGAAGTTGCAGATCCCTTAGAAGTCTCTCCATAAACATCCCTTCCCTCGCTGCTTGCGATAATGCTAATAGCTCTGCTTCAGTTGACATGTTGTCACAGTTGCCTGCTTATTCGCTCTCCATCCCACGGTCCCTCCGAATAGTTGAATAATATACCCTTGCGAACTTCTTCTGTCCTTGTTGTCTGCGAAGGATGCATCACTATATAGGATATAATTATCTCCACCCCCAGCTGCAGAGCTAGATCTTGAGTCCTTTTTTTAGGTACTTAAGCACCTGATCTGCTGCTTTGTGGTGTTCCGGACTTGGGTTGGTGAGGAATTGGGATAGCTTTGATACTGCAAAAGCTATATCTGGACGAGTCACAACTGCAGCATACATTAAGGAACCAATCTTTCGTTGATATCGGTGGATGCTTTGATAGCTTGCTGCACTCGAATATAGAGATAACTTCTCTTGAGTCATTGGAATAAGGATATAACCTTTTGGCTCTGACTCTGAAAGGTTAGCAATCTTATCTATATATGAGGACTGACTTAGCCATATTAGATGCCTCTTTCTATCCCGGATTATTTCTATCCCTAGAAACCATTTCAGTTTATCGCCTCCAGTCATCTTATACTGGTTTTGAAGCCTTTGGATAATTTCTTCCATTTTCTTCTTGCTTTCCTTTCTAAAAGCGCAGACAATATCATCCACATAGAAGAATATAAGGATATCTCCTTTGGCTAGGCAACATGGCTCATGTGGGATAGATTTAAATCCTAGATCTTGAAGGCTCTTTGTGAACAATCTTTGCCACAGAACTGGGGACTGCTTTAGTCCAAAGAGGGCTTTCTTTAGCTTTAGCAGTCTTCCAGGCACTCTATAACCAGGAGGCATCCGCATAAAGACATCCTCATCCACATCTGCATTAACAAATGCATTTGTGATATCATATTGAATTAATTCAAGATCAAAACGGGCCGCAAGAGACATCAAAGTCCTAAATGATCGAATAGCTAATGTCGCTGCATATAGATCATCTGTACGGTCCTTTTGTTGATCTCCACGGACAACTAGTCGAGCCTTGCACTTTTGAAATCTGCCGTGCTTGTCGAATTTATACACATACACCCATTTGCAATCTAGGACTTGTTTGCCTAAGCAGGTGGATCTTCGTATCTCTTCCCAGGTCCTCATATCTCTATGACCTTTGAGATGATCCTCTTCTGCTTGTTTAAACAGAGATCCTAGTGGATGATCTTCCAGGTCTCTATGCCATACTGGTTCTGGAGGCAAATTCCGACGGTGTATTTTGGATAGGCCACCTGGGCATCTCTGGAGTCGTTCCAATGTTGCTTTGCTGATCGTCTTTTCTTTATGTCTTCGAACAGGTTGAATAAGTCGTCCTGCTAGGAATGTTGCCTTCCACGTCCGCAGATGTCTTGATAATTTCGGAGTTGCTGGTGGGCTAGTGGATTCACTGCAAAATGCCGATGCAAATAATGACGCTGGATTGAATGAAGCTTCTGGTGTTTCCGGAGGTGTTGGATAAGTATCTTGCTCCTTTTCTTGCTGGTTTGATTCTGGAATATCTGCAAGATAATCAATTGAATCAAAGTGTCCATTAGACAAAGAATCCTCTGCCATCTCCATTGGCAAGCTTTGAAGCTCAATATTCTCCACCATTTGATTAAACTCCTTTAAGGGAACTTGTCGAAATTCATCCTGCATGGTGGCTAAGGTCTTAGCTATGTCACCAGAGAATTGTTCTTCTTCATTGAAAATTACATCCCTTGTCCGAATAACCTTATTCAACCGAGGCAACCAGATTCGATAGATATTAGTGGAGTCATATCCAACTAGATATCCTATCCATGCCTTTGGATTAAATCTCTGCAGTCTTTTCTCCTTTTTCTGAGCTTCAGGAGTCATTGCAAAGGCCTTGCATCCATAAACTTTAGATGCGCTTGCTAGGCTTTCTATCCTCCACTACAACACCTTCGCTGTGTGCAATATAGGTATGGAACCTATCAACAGGAGTTTTCCAATTGGCTTGATAATAAGGTGTTCGGTTGAATAGGTAAACTGCTGCTCGTACCACTTCTGGCCATAGAAACGCAGGCAATTTAGCACCTTCCCGCATAGCTCTAGCCTTATCCTTTATTACACCCCCTGAGCGTTCTGCACCTCCATTTTGTGATTGCGTATTAGGCGCAGAAGGCTCAACCTTGATGCCTTTCGAAAGGATATAGTGGTAGACTTGGAGTTTTCTGGTAACTATCTCATTATCACACTCAATTACCTTAGGCATGATGTTGTACTGATGTTTTAGAGTCCTAAATAGGTCCTCTAATGCCTTGATAATTGCCTCCGCGGTGCGATTTTGAAAATAATAGTCCCAGATAATGCCAGACCACCTGTCTGTCACCAACATAAGGCTTTTAAAGTCTTGATATCCTTGTTCAAAGTCATGAAAGTCAATTGCCAGTTGCAATCCAGGTCCTTCTTTTATTCCTCGGGGAAAACGTTGAATCTGACGCTTTATTTTGGCTATTCCGCAAGCATCACATTCTACTGTCGTCGGACCCCGGATCCTAGCACCTTTTGAAGCATTAACTAGGTGCTCTATTGCTTGCGGTCCTGGGTGCCCCAGGCGGAGATGCCATTTCTTAGCATCTGCTCGCACTGACTTCGAACTCTGATGTGAAGATCTGGTAGCGAATGTTGCATGTGTTGATACCGGGATATATTCAAGGACAAATTGATCATGTCGATCCTCCAGGTAAGCGATTGGAAACCCCTTTATAGTGCGAATAACATTCTGACCAGGTTGATTGTCCCACCATAGATTCATTCGATGGAGTTGCCTCAAAGACACTAGGTTACACGCCATATTAGGACAGTAAGCAAACATATACAGGCGTAGTTTTGTTTTCCGTTCCTTCGAGTTAATATTAATGCTGACATTGCCGTATCCTTTAATAGAGACTTTTGAATCTCCTGCCCATACAAAATCTCCGGGTGCCGCTGGCTGGTATCGATCGAATCGAGAGAACTGGTTGAATATATGGATAGTCGTGCCGGAGTCAAGGATTGCAGAGTTCTTGAGAGGATATGTGGACGGAAGCAAGATAAAAGAAGTAGGTATTCTCCCTACTTCTTTACTAGAAAGGAAGGAGATGCTGGTTCCTTTTCTAGTCATTCTTGAGCCTTTTGCTTTATTTCTTCTTCCACCTGCTTGGCAAAGCTTTGATCATCCTTTAGTGACAGATTTACCAACCTTCTAACTTCAGAACGCTCCTGATATCCTTCTGGGGCCTTCCTAGGGAATAAATAAAAGCAATCCTTCCAATTATGCCATTGTCCGCAAGCTCTGCAGGCCTTTGCCGGTCTTGATGATCCCGGATTGTTCCTCTTGAACTCCTTCGGTGATCCACGGCTTTCGGTCCTCTGCTTCCGCTTTCGGGACCTCCTAGTATCTGGTGCGGGTGCCTTATCTTCGTCACTATCTCTGCCATGAGTTCCAGAGATAGAGGCATCACTACCTTCGTCTTGAGTTCCAAAGGTAGGACCGAATGATCCCTTGGCAATCTTGCCTTGAGGTAATCCCATTCGATTCATGCTATCACGGAAGTCCTGCGCGACCATTCTAAAGGAGAGGCTTTCTTCTTGAATGTCTTGCTTCTTATTTATCCAATAAGATTCTACCCAGTGAGGATTCAAAGATCGCACTGCATTTAGAAAGTCTTTAATCCAATCAGTTAAGGAAGTAGCAACTGCAATCTTTGCCTTTATCCCCTTCTGCATGGCTAACTCCCAATTGTTTATCCAGGTGTTGATGTCCCTGGGCTTTGGAGTCTTGATGGCCTTTTGATAAGCTTCTCGAGCCAGTTCTTTGACTCTAAACTCATCAACTCCAACATTCTTCTTTAGGTTGTCATACCAGTCGTTCAAGGAATCAGAAGGAATGCAGCAGAATTCATAGACTTGTGGTGATACAGTCTTTTGAATCCATTCTCTAATCTTATTTAACTCCGCTTTCTGTTTGTTGTACTCCTCCAGTTTGGTTCGATAAATTGTCCAAGCCAACTGATATTCCGCATGGGACCCTGTGGAGGCATTTCGGGTGCTATTAGCAGGTGGAGGAAGATAATCCTCTTCGTTAGGCATTCTAGGCTTTGGTAAGATCCTCTCCGTCACCTGAAATAATATCCCAAATATCCTTGCCTCTAGCTAGGCCTTCAAACTGCGTCTGCCACTGCATCCAGTCCTCCTGTGTGTTGAGGCGAATGGTGCTGTCTTGAATGGTTGACATAGCGAAATAGGGTTAATATAGATATAGATATATATCTATCTATATATGAGTGCTCTTTTAACAAATGAGACTCTTAATTGTTAGATTATATGGGGGGTATGAAGTTGTTGTATTCAGAAGGATTCTCTGCCCAACCCCTCTATGAGGAGTATTGGGTATATATATTCACATGATGTCCCAATATGGACTAGCTTTATTCTGACAATAAGATAAAGAATTGGGCAGAATCTGGGCTGGATAGGCTCTTATTGGCTGCAATACTCTCACCGCATATAATGACTAATCAAAATAAGCCCCTTGAAATGTAATTGAAATCGATAAAAAAGTTGAAATTTCAAGATTTCGTAATGAGCTCGCCGGTATTGTCATTACACCAACACTAATTCTAGAAACATCTGCATATTTACAATACAAGAAGCAACACCTGGTTTCGTATACTTACGTTTAATACTAATCATAAATTACTAAATTAACATACCAAACCTAATCTGGATTAGATTGCGGGAATGGCGCTGAGAAGGAGTCAAAGAGTTGTAGACCATGTAAAGCCGAACTTGCAAGGCTCTGTAGTATATTCGCAGCACTCTTAGCCTTCCGTTTCCACCTTCATCTTTCATTCTCTGACTCTTCTATTTCAGGAGACCGAATGAGGCTAAATTTGCATCTTTGAAGATAAAGAACCTCCAGATCAAACCTGGCGACGGGTTTTTCGAGCTGCAGATGCTCCTGGTTGGCAAGAATACGGGTTATATCAGCTTCACGCTGGGCACCAAGTTTTGCATTGGTGAGACTACCCTGCCAAATATGCTCAAAGCGAGCAGCATACTAAATTGCTATATTTCTTAGCTGTATTAGCTTGTGCTTGAAGTATATCTTTCTGTGCCTTAGCAATGCTCCGCCGCATCCTGGTAACTGTTGTTGGTGGAGAGTTTGTTGTAGAGCTTGAAGGTGGTGGAGTTTCTGGCTGACCTCCTAGTTGAGCATCTAGTTGAGCATCTAGTTGAGCATCTAGTTGAGCATCTAGTTGAGCATCTAGTTGAGCATCTAGTTGAGCATCTAGTTGAGCATCTAGTTGAGCTTCTTCTTGAGTCTTTTCTTGAGCCTCTTCGCCCCAAACTAGTAGTTCTGTTGTCTTATAGCCATCATAGACAACTACGTTAGGAACTGGGGATTCAACATCTCGAAGAGGATAGAGAAGCTTTAATGGATAAATCCCTCAGTTTCTTAAATGCATGCCATATGGTTGAAACTTAAAAAGTCTGCGTCCGAATACTTGGATAATATGGAGAAAATCTGACTTTTCTTACCCGATCCACCCCACTGTACAATAGCATTATTAGCCTCCGATAATACTGCTTATACGCCTGAAATGGATATCCATCTAGAGGCTGAAGCAGATGTGTAAGATCTGGTGGAAAGCACCATGGACTAATATGATTGCTGGTGGCAAAATTGAGCAAAATCCTCTGTAAGGTGGGACTGGTGGTTGCCCATTAGGATCAGGCTGTAGGATCCACGTTGAACACGATGCTTTGTCCGTTCATGGAAAAATAGAAACCATTGATAGGCAATAATATTATTTGTCTAGCCATTTGCAGCTGGAGCAATATAATAAATGACTGGAAGACTTGGCTGGTTCTTATACCAATGCCCCATATGATACTGGCCCTTGAAGAGAAAAAATGGTGGCATTATCCAACCATCTGCAGCAATACCCTTAAATGCTGTAATTGATTCTCTCGGTCCCCTCCAGTTTCAACATATGCTGCAGTATACTTGATTTTTGTAATAACTTTCTGACATTTCCCTGGCCAAGCTGGAAGCTGAATTCGCCAAAATTTTAGATATTTCCAGGTCCACTATGATCGCGTTCGAACTGCATTCCTAGTCGGTCGGTTAAACTAGGTTGAAATAGTAGACATATTCTCTGCTGCTATTCTTTGCTTCTCCTTTGGCTTTTGCTTTATAAATTTGTAGATTTCTCGAAGGCGTTTGATGAAGCTGTAGACCTAGTTTTTACCAACTCGTCGATCTTTACCATTCAGTGCCAGCTTCTCATTTGCACAGCTTGTAATTATTGCAGGTGTCGGTGGAGCACATGCATTATCAAGAAGAGATATCCATTTAATTAATGCCCGTTATTGAGCATTATCTAGGACTTTATTGGTAGCAGGGCGTGTCGAGCCAGATCTATGGCCATGAACGCGTCGAAGTAGCCGCCTATAAGAAATATTAAATTCCAGCGCTAGTGCTTTGATTTGGGGCTTCTCACGCTCTGAATACGCGCAGAGTGCATTGGAGATTTGATTTTCTACTTCATGATAGTTTTCACGCATTGTGGTAGTGAGTAAATCCATGAAGCATTTGGTGTAGTGGTAAAAAGTGTCATTGAGCCTATAATACCGTTTGAGGGGTATGGGTCAGAGGTGACGGGTATATGGAAAGTGGATGGATATTTAAAGCCAACTCGCAGAGGGAGAATCTCAGTCCCTGCACTTCAGATCGCAGACCAGCTTACTGAACAGTATAAACAAAAGGCTGAATTCTTGCTTAACACACTCTTCCCACCAATTCTCCCACTGCAAGAAAACCTAACAGGATTCAACCAATCACGTCTATTAGAATTTGCTCCGCTAGCATACCATGAGGTAGAAGCTGCCGTTATGACAGCACATCCATGGAAAACCCCAGGGCAAGACGGTCTTCCTATACGGTATTGCAAAAGATATGACTGGTAGTGGGGCAACTAGTAGTCAAGATCTTCGAGGCATCACTCCGACTGGGATACGTACCAGCAGAATGGAAAATCAACTAAGATTATCGTGCTACACAAGCAAAATAAAGATCCATCCCAGCCAATTGCATATCGTCCGATCTGACTACTCTCTACACTGGGAAAAGCACTATGGTTATTGCCACTAGGGCTCTCTCTCTCTCTTACCTGGGGGAAGACAGCAGTTACTCCTGACCAACAAACTTTGGAGGCAGCGATCCTGTGAATAAGCACCTTGGTGGAGAGCAGACGTGTGGAGAGCAAGAAAGGTCGTCAGCCTAGTCAGCTTCGCTGTCAAGGGAGCATATAACGGCGTAACATATGAAGTGCTACTCTGGCGACTACTGGCGACTACGAGGGAGCCAGATTCCGGAAGTAATAGCTAGGTGGATTTCTTCTTTTGGTTCCAATTGCCGAGCAAGCATAGTGGTGAACACATCTGCTTAGATGAAATGGATATCCAGCACGCGTGTCTCTCGCATGCCTATCCACTCTGTATCTTTTCATGAATGTGTCAGAATAAACTAGTCCAGATTGGGATATTATGTGAAACATATACCCAATATCTCCTATTAAATTTATGGTGGGCGGGATACAACTCCTTGTTGCTGTCAATCAAGTGACGCTTTACATTAATACATTACCGCGCAACATTGGGCTCCCTATAAATCCAAACTCGGTCACCAGCATAGTCTTCCCCAAAAAGAATCTTGGCCAAGATTTAGGATACAATACAATGGCAGCAATATACTGCAGCTCGGATTTCCATGCTACCTTTTTTCTCTGAATGTCACAGGCACAGAGAGCTGGATGACGTCCTACAAGAATATCTCTGCTTTGTTATAATGATAATGATGATTCATGCCCAGACCCTTCGCCCATGTCTGAAATATTATTAAACGCTCTTCCAATCTTCTCTCGTAGTTCTTGTCGCAGCCCACTTAGCCGCGGGCACAGTTTCCAGTGCACCACATTCACACCGTTCGTCGTCTCGGAAGCCGTGCCGTATACGATGCGTCGCAAGCCATAAGTGGTCTGTTCAGAGTTGCGTAAGCAATAGGCTCAATTCTGGGGGAGCGAGCTATAGAGCCGGCGAGTGCGGAATGAAGCTACGTAGGGCTGCGTCAATACGGCGGAGGTGCCCCCTTTCTTTGAGGCGCTCCATTATCGTTACCACTCCTAAGTGATTCTGTCTCGGATATGCGCTTTTTCGCGTGATAAGAGGCGCTGAAAAGGGTGCCTTATATCTAGACCAACTGCTTTCTTCGCCAGGCGGTCCGCTGCATCATTTCCGGGGTTGTCACAGTGTCCCGGAACCCATTGGAACCGTAGTTGGTTTTCACGTGCTTTTAGCTTACCAGTAGGCTGATGAATAGCCTGGATGACTCGCTGGCCGGACTTGTTCCATGCGTTTGCTATCACCTGTGATGCAGAGTCTAGGTCCATCGTCTGCATGGTTTCTGCCAAGGGGAGCCGGGTGTCAGGATTCCTATGTCCACTTCGTATCCTAGCCCGTGCTACCACACCATGGATTGGGTGGCTTTCCGGCAGCCTACTAAGGCGGGTAATCACAATCTGTGCACGTCACTTTAATCGCAAGTGGTTGGGAAGTGTATAGGATTCCACCTCTAGTGCTGCTGTTGAGGTTGTCCTGAAGGCTGAGAGCACCCGGATAAGAGCGGTCCTTTGGACTATACCCAGAGGTCGCAGGTGCATTTTGTCCCTGAGTGGGTTGTGCCAGACTGTGGATGCGTAGTCTACTGCTGGTATCACGCATTCTTGGTAGAGTTGCCGCATCTGTTCCGGCCGAAGATGTCTTAGTCCTCCCAGTGCTATAATAACCTTGGTTGCTCGTTTAACTGCCTGTCGAACATGGTCTTTCCATCCTATCTCCTTGTCAAAGATAACTTCCAGAAGTTTCGCTGTGTCGGGAGGTGTGATAACCTTGCCATTTATAATAATCTGTCCTACACCATGTTCTTTCTTGTCCCGGGTCAGGTGAATCAGCTCTGTCTTGTCCTCAGCAAAGGAGGAACCCGTTCGCCGAGCCCATACTTCAATCTGGGGATGTCTTCATCTTGGATCTTCATTAAATTCGCCTCTGCCGATGGGCCGGCTCGCCACCGGAAGTAGTCATCGATAAACACAGATGCTTCACCATTTAATCAACCGGTTGATCTACCAAGTCTAAGTTGAAGAAACCGAAGAGAATGAGTGACAGCGGAGA